CACCTCAGGCCATCGACTGCATTGAAGCACACAGGTTGTGGGACACATTGATTTTTTTTTTGTATTTTATGTAAATATTATTTTATGTAAATAATAACAATAATTTTTTATGTTTACATAATATGCGCATTATGTTTTTATTTTCCCGTTCCTTCTTTATTTTAATACTACAACACAAACACAAAACATAACAACTTAACATAATTTAAATTCAGTATAATTAATGAAAATACATGACACGGGAAACATAAAGATAAAGTAGTACACTCAACACATACATGTCATTGTTTAGTCACTGCCGCCCATTATTCTCTGCTCCAACCACTTAAATTTCTCTTCCATCTTATTTTTTTCTAATTCTGCCTCTTTCAGTTTCTCCTTCAACTCCGCAATTTCTCGTTATTCTTTTTCATATTCACATTGTTTTAAGGTCAAATCATGAAGATACTGCAAATATCGTTTGTAGCATTCCTTCTTACAGAGTTCATCAATCCATACCTCAAAATTACAAAAAGGTTCATCGGGAACCCTATAAAACCTGTCCACACACATCCAGTAGCGGTGTCCAACTTCACCATCATCCCAACAGTCATTCATCAAATATTTTTTGCCGCACTGGCACCTTGGTACATAAAGGCGTTCAGACATTTGTTAAAGCGTTAAAAAAAAACCTTGCTTTTATGGAAAGTTTTGCTATTGGTTATTGTTAAGCGCAGAAAATAACTAGAATGCGCCCGTTATTTATAGGCAAGGCAACACACATAACGTAGTATTTAACCGCGCTATATATATTCACATTACGTAGTATTTAACTGCGCTATGCTTTGCGTGTTAAAGATGATTATGGATACAAAACAGCTTTTTCTCAGACGGGTAGCTTTTCAGTTCGACAAGACATTACACATAATGTAGTATTTAACCGCGATATTATATATATATATATATATATATATATATTCACATAACGTAGTATTTAACCACGCTATATATATATATATATTCACATAACGTAGTATTTAACCACGCTATATATATATATATATTCACATAACGTAGTATTTAACCGCGCTATGCTTTGCGTGTTAAAGATGATTACGGATACAAAACATCGTTTTCTTAGACGGGCAGCTTTTCAGTTCGACAAGACAATATACATAATGTAGTATTTAATCGCGATATATATATTCACGTAACGTAGTATTTAACTGCGTATTTATCAGAAATCTACCTTTAACTCAACTATTTTTGAACTATATTTATCAACTATATTTATCAAATATATTCACATATTTTTTCCATTTTTTAATCTAATACTATTTTTTATTACATGAACAGGAGGGAGAAATACATTAATTTACTCAACTAAAAAATGTTAAATATCAATAAGATTTAACAACAATGGAAATATAATTTTATTTGATACATCTTGCAACATAAACAAAACATCTACTTATTACAACATAAACTCAATGATAGTTGGGAACATTAGAAGAACACCCACCACGAGCTTGATTACCACCACTACCCAAACCAGCCGAAGGATATTTTCGACGGTCGTGTCCTGTTTGCGAGCATATACCACATTTGCGCGCATAAACGGTATCGCTAATATCCATTTGGTTCCGTATACGCGTTCTCTTATGCACCTGTATTCGATGCAAATAATTCTTGTTACACACCATTTTAAATAGTTCCGGCGGCCAATAATGCTCAGCACACACTGGCTGCAACTGCCCACTATAGGTGTTTAAGTAAGCAGCAATACTATATTATTTATCAACGTAGTTGGTTGGCCCTAAACCTGTATGTTGAAAGCACCTGATGGCATGTGAGAACGGTATGTGGTAGATGAACCATTTTCCACAAGAGCATAACCTTCTAGATTCATTTATGATATGTACATTATTCTCCCGATTTTGATGGATAGTGGTGCAAACTTCAAAAATATTTCTGTCATGATCATACTGCAAAAATGAATGCCAATGTGCTCGCCGCCTGCATTTCTCAAATCTCTTCATCGGCAGTGGCATAAATTCAACACCTCTTTCCATCAATGACGTTGCAGCTGCAGTCCTTTCAACAAACCTCTCTGCCATCTGCTTGAACGACATCCGCACCATGGCAGTGACAGGCAATCCTCTTGCCGACTTCAATAACCCGTTGAAAGACTCTGACACGTTTGTAGTCAGAATTCCCCATCTTCTTCCACCATCTGCATGCAAAGTCCACTTCTGAAGCTCATGTCGCATCAACCAATGATAGGCTCTCTCGTCTTCCTTCCTGATAGATTCCATATGCCTCTGGAATTTATGTTCTTGGTGGTCTGTTGCTGCCATCCACATCAAATCATGCAGATCCTTATTGGGATATGCCTTCTGCAAATTGGCCTTAAAGTGCCTCACACAGTAACGGTGGTAGGCATAAGGTTCTTGCCATGCAGGCAAGTTCTCTACAGAACTTAAGATACCACCATGCCGATCAGATATTAGAAAAATATCGGAACACTGTTTGACAACGTGCTCTTTCAAATGGTTCAAAAATAGCGTCCACGTCTCTTGGCTTTCATTGGCACAAATAGCAAATGCTAGAGGAAATATTTGTCCATTAGTATCTACTGCAACGGCTATCAACAGCTTGATATCATACTTTCCATAGACATGAGTGTCGTCTGCCCAGAACACGTAATTGAATATATATTCTGATTTTCCTGGACTACGCTCAATCTTCCATTCAACAACCGTCCCGGGGTTAAAGTGTTGCAGTGCGGCCATGTACTTGGGTAGAGCTGCAAATGACTTATCCCAGTTACCATAAACAATTTCAAACGCACGTTTGCGCCCGAGAAATGCCTTTCTTTTGGTAATAGTATGACCATATTCCTGGTGGACTGATGTAATGCACTATTTGATTTTATACCTTATGGACGCTTCAAGGTGTGGAATAAGGACAAGAGAAATCAAGTCAATATCCAAGTTATAGTGATTCCCATTGAATGTGTCCATTTCACATATGTGAGTGGGAATATATTTATCCACTTTCCATAGACCTGTGTTCTTCTTGCTCGCACGCAGCATCCAATGACAACCCGTAAACCATCTGCAACAAACAACCTTATATACATCAGGACTTGACTCCCATACCATCATCTCACAATACTCGTTTATGCTGTACATTTTCGCCGCCCTGCTTAGGCGCACTTTATCAGGAAAAAGCATGCCCTTTGCCAACACCGTTGGTCTAAAATCATCCCACATTGATATCCGAATTTCATCAAAATCCCTTGTGAGAGCATCCACATCCGGCATACTTGGCAAGTTATCAAGGTAGGGAATCTTCCTTGAATGAAACGACGCTTGGGACTCGTACACTCTCGGTCTAACGGGGGGTGGAGCATACTCCCTCGTCAAATCAGGTCCTTCATTCTCTTACTCCTCGTCACCATCCTCACGAGGGAAGGGTGTGTCGTCTCCGAAATCATCGGCATTGTTGTCATAATCACTGTTCTCTTCCTCACTCTGTGCATCTACCAGATCCCGATTTAATATGTCATCTTAGGGCAATTGAGTGAGGACAGATGGTTCAACTTGCTCGTTTTCACTGCACAAACAATAAAATAATAAGCTACTAAAATTAATAAATACTTTCCATATAGCTGTATCACTTCACTTACAAGTCATAACGTGTTGACATTCCTTGATGGACAATAATCATGTTGGTGATGACTCCCGGATGGACCACCATGATCCAACACACCAAAACTACGCATATTCCAACTGGGCGTGGATTCATAACTTGTAAAAGTCATATTTGGCCGGTACCCCCTGTGGAATATACGGGTGTTAATACAAATTCAATACAACAAAAATATACATCGTAACACTAAGAAAAATTGAAGTTTACCACTCGTCTTGTAGATTATGTAAAGCAGGAGAGAAATTATTTCCTCGCTCCTCATTTGCCCGTGGTGATAAGTTAAATCAGGGCAAACTCTTTCATCCGGAACCTGTCCGGCAAAAACTGCTCCAGAATAACCACCCGATGACTGAGGGTTATCCCTACTATGCGCAACCTCATTATTGCGAATGTCTTCGACCTTGACGTATATTTCCAATATTTTTATCATAAGAAATTCCCGGTATTCATCCGGAGTCCTCAAAAAATCCCTCAAAGTTTCATCATCGTCGATGTTAAACTCAGCGTAACAAGCAACGCCTTGCGGAGTGACGGAATATGGATATCTTCCGGTTACATTAAGGTTCACCGAACGTTTCCTCACACTCATTTTATTACATAACAACGATACCAATCTATCGTACTCCATTGTAAGTGAAAACTTAACATGATACTGTGGAGATAAACTATAGCGCACAGAGTTATTCGCCACCACAACCTCACCCCCCAATATAATGAAACCCTTACTTTTCGCTCTTCAGACATTATGAAAAAATGCTTGAGAATTTAACAAGAAGAAAAATTTGAACGAGAGTTAGGAATATTTTTGAATGGATTTTTGTAAAATCCTAACTCCTTTAAATAAGGCAATGCCTAGCTCGGTGGGCTGAATGTTTTTAGGTATAGCGCTCTTTTAAAGAGCGCTATACCCATTTGAATTATTGTTATGTCAGTTAAACGCAGGAGACTTATTGGTGGGCCCACAAAATAGGTATAGTGCGGTTATATACCGCGCTATGTATATAGCGCGGTTTAAAAGAGCGTTCTCTATATATATATAGCGCTCTTTTAAAGAGCGCTATGCTTTAACGGAGTTTTGGCCGTTAAAGTATAGCGCTCTTTAAAAGAGCACTATGTATAAAAATATTACTCTTTTTTTTAAACATACATTTTCGTCACACTTGTCCAAACCACAAATGGGTTCTGGATCCCGCCTTACGCCCACGCATTTTAAAACACTGTTTTTAGCTAACCTTGTCTTGGTCTCTGCACTCTCATTTATAGTACTGCTGACTAGTGATTATAACTGACACTTGTTTGCAGCCGTCCTATGTCACTCATTTTTTCAGATTTTTTTTTACTAGAAATATTTCATAGTACTACTGTACTCTTGAGGGAAATGTTAAAAGAAAAAGAATATAAACTTGTTTCTCTTGACAATTGTTTGAAGAAGAATAGTTGGTGAAGTTTGTCGCTTAAGTTATCCTTAAAGAAGAACATTTGGAGTTTTACTTCATTTGTAGGTTACTTTCTTCTTTCTGTTGTCCTTAGTAAAACAGGTATTTCTGCAAGACTAAGCTTTCAAGTTTCATAGTTCTGATTGTCTGCATTATTACTTCATGCATTTCTTTTTCTAATTATACTACTAAATGCAAAATAATTGCAACAGTTCATTACTAGTTTGCTTTTTTTGTTTTTTTTTGTTTTTTTGAGATGATAATCTCGTTATATAAAGGATAAGGATGTTGATACAATGCACTATGTGTTCTGTATTTCTTAAGATTTCATCTTTTCTTGGATTGAATTTGGGGGGAAGGANTCTTCTTAAGTTGATTAAATATGTTACCCTTTTCATTAATTTTTATTCTAAATTCTATGGTTGCAGAATTTGAGCTAAGTAGTGAGAACTTCCTAAGTGTTGCAGCTATACATGGAAAAAGACTTTGGACTTAAAATCCTTCTAGTCTTGCATTTTTTATTACACTCAATATGCTTATCAGAGCAACTGCTATCTTCCCAAGTACAGACTCTATTTAGGATTCAAAATCTTCTGAATTATCCACCTGCTTTGAGTAGTTGGAACAATGACACAAATTTCTGTAACACTGAGCCAAGTTCAACTGTTACTGTTATCTGCTATGAGGAAAGCATAACTCAGCTTCATATAATAGTGGGTAAAGGGGCTTCTGCATTACCAGAGAACTTCTCGATCGATTCGTTTGTCACTACACTTGTTAAGATACCTAGCTTGAAAGTTATAAGATTAGTTTCTCTTGGTTTATGGGGGCCATTGCCTAGTAAATTTTCAAGACTTTCATTATTGGAAATATTAGACCTAAGTTCAAATTACTTTCAGGGTGACATACCCCGAGAAATTTCATCGTTAACGAGCCTCCAAACTTTAGTATTAGATGGTAATAAGTTCACTGGAAGACTTCCAAATGGCATTGGTTCACTAATAGTTTTGGCAGTTTTGAGTGTGAGGAACAATTCTTTAGATGGACATTTACCTGATACACTGGGAAATTTGCATAATCTTCGCGTTCTTGCACTTTCGAGGAATAATTTTACTGGTGATGTTCCTGATCTTAGCAGTCTAGAAAACCTTCAAATTCTAGATTTGGCAGATAATTCTTTTGGACCTAAATTTCCTCGCGTTAGCAGCAAAATTCAAAGCATTGTGTTGAGGAACAATAAGTTCACTGCAGGCATTCCAGAGAAAGTTCAATCCTACAATCATCTTGAACATATGGATATTTCTTCAAACAGATTTAAGGGGCCGTTTCCTCCGTCTTTGTTATCTTTGCCATCGATCACTTATCTTAACGTTGCAGGAAATAAGTTTACGGGAATGGTTTTTGAGGATAATCAATGCAATGCCGGATTAGATTTTGTGGATTTATCTACTAATCTGTTGAGTGGAAGATTACCTAGTTGTCTTATGACCGGTTCTAAGCACAGGATTGTGCATTTCTCTAATAACTGTTTAGCAACTGGAGACAGTAGTCAACATCCATTTTCTTTCTGTCGGAATGAAGCGTTGGCTGTTGGTATCTTACCTCATCATCAGAAGCAAAAACCATCTCCAAAAGTGGTTCTTGCTTTTATCGTTTGTGGTAGTATCACGGGTGGAGTCGTGCTAGTTTGCGCGACTATTTTGATTGTCAGGAACTTTCTTGCGAAGGAAGCTGCACGAAAAACCCCAACAAGATTAATAGTAGAAAATGCATCATCTTCATATACCTTGAAGTTATTCACTGATGCAAGTAAGATTCCTCGCTTCTTTCTGTATTCTCTATCACTTAACTCGGCCACTCAATACGTTGATTGAAAAGGTAACATAGTTAATTCTCTAGCTGAAAGGTGTTAGAAGTAAAGTTAATTTCATTAGCGTCCAAGTTCCTGTCTTAGCATTGAAGCATAGTACAATAGGAAAGGGAAAAAGCCTAAATATACAATGTTTAGGAATAGGAAAGGGAAAAAGCCTAAATATACAATATTTCGTTTGATTCCTAACTGCAACTAATTTGCCACGTTGTTTTTGTTTTCTATGTACAAGGATATGTTACTCAAGCAATGAAGCTGGGATCACTTAGCCTCCCGTCTTATCGGACCTTTTCGTTGGAAGAGCTTAAGGTAGCAACAAACAACTTTGATGCAACAACTTTTATAGGCAACAATTCTGACAGCCAGGTATTGCATTTCAAATTACCGCGTACCTTACTTTTTCTTTCCTACCGTACTATGTCATGGTACTATCATCCTTGATCGTTTTGGCACCAAAAAATGAGCTATAGAATGATACATGTTCAGCTGCTTTAGAAATGATACGGCCATCTCTCTCGGTTGCACAATCCCATTACATCGTTCTATTCGTGCTTGAAAAACAACCCCATCGGTCCGCTCCTTTAAATGGATACTCTTACCCGTCCTCCGAGGGTTAACATCACATAGATCAGATCGTGAACTCTTAATCTAATATGTTACACTATACCTTATCCTGTTTAGGTAGTTATAGAAGAATTCCTCTCTCATTCTACTAGCCAATCATTATCTTAGATGAGTGTGTGTCAACAAAGTATGACACGATATAAGCTCTTCGTAGGGATATTCATATTCGAGCGAATGTAAGAGCTGTAAAAATAATCTACCTATATGACCAATCTACTGAAAGTTTGATAGACAAAGGCTCATAAATTTGCTTTTTTTTTTTTTTTTTTTT